CATTAGTGCGACCCGGCGCTTCTGGCTCCGCGGGCAGCGGGGGCGGCCCCGGGCCGACCCTCCTCGTCCTCCCCGGGCGGGGGCGCCGGGCGGGCCGCCTCCAGTAATAAGAAACCGATGACGGAGAGTCGGAGCGGGAGTCTGCTCATCGCCGCCTGAGGGGGATCAGGGATCGATCAGCCTCCTGAGCATGTTCGGCCTGAAGTTCAGTGGGGATTTTGGGGGGATGTTTAGACAAGGGTGTGAAATATTCTGTAACATCTTAACGAGACACTGGAGCGTACTTTATATCCACGGTTTACCCGCCGCTACTTTATTATCTGTCTGCCATTTCTTACTTTCTTACAACCATTTTCCTTTTACTACGTTCGTTCAAAGGTACGTACTTAGAACAACAAAAATGCTGCAGTTAATGAGTGAGTTAATCGGCGCAGGTAGACATGTATGGTGTTTAAACTGAGGAAGGAGGGAAGCAGCCCATCCAGTCCTCCGCGCCAAGCTGGGTGGATCTTGCTAATTTGCAGGTGGCTTCGAAGGAGGAGCCTGAAGGTGGGTGGCGGGTGGGAGCGTGGGCATAAGACGCCTGCGGGTGCTGGCCGCTTCACCCCATCAGCACCCCAAGGAAGGAAAGCGGCACTTGCTGCACAAGCTATTTTTAAACCGGCATCTGAGAAAGTTGATTGACCGCGTTGGGGGGACTTCTGTACGGAAAGAATGCACCGCGTGCAAAAACCGCGTTTTGAACATGCATTCAAGACTGCGTGTTTTAAAAGGCTCAGTTGGGAGCAGCGTCAAACTGGCCTTGCCTAATCGTGAAACAGCTAAGCATAGTAAAGGCCTAGCTGACGGACGGACGGACGGACGGGAGACCACTAGGAAACCTTAGGAGATGTAGGGCAGGCTTGAAAAAAACATTCAAGAAGAAGGCCATCTCAAGCCTAAGAAAACGACACGAATGTCCGTGAAAATCCCTAGCAGCTAAGCTTCGCTCTGGGGAGGCTTTTATCTTTGCCTCGCTTTCAAATATGAGAGCTAACTTTTACTTTTTGGGCTACAGTGGCCCCAGGTCCAACGTTAGGCTCAAGCTTCTGTAAACATTTTGAAGAATAAACTGCTGCCATTGCTCCAACATGCTCCAAAGTGCTCCAGCATGCTCTGTCGGAGTGGTCTCCTATTCTAAACAGTGCATGCCGGTCTCTTTCAGGGCAAAGCAGCATTGACCAAGGAGGAAATAGAAACGGGGGGCTTGCACGAAAAGCCCCCCTCCTGGGATCAAGGCTTGCCCGACCAGAAAAATAGTAACGGTGCTGTGCACGCTGCTGCGGCTGCAGCGGGCCCATTGGCACCTGGGCCCTCCGGGTGGTGACGGAGACCTCACCCTCTTGCGGCCTTGGCACAGGAGCTTCCGGCAGTGTGACCGTGCCCCTTCCCACCCAGGATTGCTTTGGCACCCTCCTCGGCTGGCACTCGCTTCAGCCCCCCAAGATTTTCTCTGCAGCATCCTTGAGATTTGCCCTTGGCCAAGAAGCAGAGCGATAAGGGCCGAGAGGGAGGGGGAAGAGGGACTTGCACGCCCGTGGTTTGTCAGAGCTCTGGGAAGATAACATCGTGGCCGTAGATTATACAAAATGTGTGTGTCAAGATGTAGTTTTAGAGCAAGAGGTTAAGATTCATTTACCTCTGCTGTGTAAGAAGCCATAAGTTACTCTTTTTGTATTTTTTTCCTCTTTTCTCTATTTCCACCACCTTTGCTTTCTCTTTCTGTTTCTAACTTTCTTGCTTTCTACTTTTCTTGATTATTAGTTCTTGTTTGCTTTTATCCTTATGCTTTTTATAACTGAATAAAGTTCTTATTAAAAAAATGGAATGACTCTCAAGCTTCTGGGAGAAAAAAAGGATAACCTCGTGGTCATTTATTAATATAGTTTTCTACACCTGGTTCTCTTTGTTCTAGGCCATGCAAATCTGGGACTTTTCAGCCAAAAGCCGTAAGCGCAGCTGAAGGCTGCAGCCAGAGGGGTTCCCAACTCCCCAAACGCACGATGGCACCTCTGCACCTGCCCGCAGTTTAAACCCGCCAACCCGGCCTGCCCATATCCCTGGAAAAGTCCCAGCTCCCTTTCTGTGCAAAGGAGCAAGGGCCCCAGGATCCCCCCATTAGCAGGAAGCCGAGGCCCTCGCTTATAAAAGCCACAGGATAAACTCAGCTCTCCTTGTCCTTTAAAAAGGAGTTTTCGTTCTGATGGCCTTTCTAGAAACACACACAAGATGCCATTCGATCCTGAGCACGTCGAGGTTCCCGCGCGGTCTGTCACCCCATAGCAGCCCTGGAGGAATCCAATTCCAAGGTTAGGGATCTTCTGAAAAAAAGTTGTGGGTCTTTCGCCCACTTAAAGCCAACTTCCTTCAACGGCAGTTTTGGAACAGGAAGGACTATTCAGTTAATAGCCAAATAATTTCCTTGTTTCTGAAAGGTGTTCATCGCTTGGCATAAATAACTCAAGTCTGCTTCCTACGAGGGCAGGAGAGATATCTCCTGAATTGGCCACTGAAGGCGAGCATTGGGTAGTTTCTGCCTCAATTCAAGGATATCAGGGAAATTTCAATAACGTTCCTGCAAAGTTCGGTCTGGATTTAACAAGATTTTATTTGTATTCTTGTGATTACAGAGTCTTTATTGCTTGTCTAATACAATCACTCAGACAGTAATATTTAAAACTTCTTTTGAAAATAGCATACTCATACTTTCTAAAAATTCCCTTATTGGAGAGTTACGACGTGATTTTTTTATTTCCTTGGTTTTGAGGTTTCAAACATAATTTGTTTTTCCTCATGAAGCTTTTTCTCTCTTTCTTGTTTTGCTGGTATTTTATTTCCTTTCATAATTTAAAAACAGTCACATTAGAAAACAAAACATTACACCATTTCAGTTTAGAGATGATCAGAGCACGGCAGTTCCAGATCGATTAGGAAAAGCTGAGCAAGCAAAAGGAACTTACAGATTTAAAAAATGCAAAGAGAGTGTTTTTGAAATTGGAGGGGCAAAATATTGTGCAAGGTCTTTTGTTCCTCCCGTCCAGCTACATCAGCGGTAAAAGCGGCTAGCACAAACCAGTTTACAGAGGAGACCACCACTGCCAGCTAATGATGCGGCTTGCAGTGGGAAGAGGATCTGTTCCCTTACAGCAGTTTTCTTCAAACTCAGCAACTTGAAGATGAGTGGACTTCAACTCCCAGAATTCCCCAGCCAGCCTTGCTGGCTGGG